GATGTTGGGCTAAAATTTGATGTGGTAGTACCTAATTAACAACACATACTTTGAGCACTATACATTGTGCAATATGTTGGCTGTTGGCTGTCTGTTAGCAAAATATTTCATAAATCCTTGAACAGATTTTAATTAAAACCCTCAGAAAGTAATCTTTTGGACAAACTCATACAACAAATTAATGCTTAGAGTCACCATAGTATAAGTCATTAGCCAACAGAAAAAGGGCAAGAACGCAGCCAGTTTTACAGATGTAGTAGTAGCTGAGAGTCATCCTCAACACATACTTGGAGCACAATTACATCCTGCAAGATCTTACAATATTGCATGATATTGTGAATGATGTCATTTACAAGTTTTGACCAAAATTAACTCCTGGATATAGGCTGTTTTTGGTTTTATTCCATGGCATGAAACACAGCTGGCGATATGTATTTCTGTGTTTAATTTAGATTCTGAAGTTAGGTTCCGCTTTCGGTTTAAGCTCAGTTTGTTTTGGATTCTTTTTTTTATTTTATGTCACTTCAGTAGAAAACGAAACCAAATATWAGTTTATTTATTTCTTCATCATCTGTGACTTTTTTTTTACTGCTGGTTTATCTTGGGGTCCGCTGCTACTCGGCCCCCCGGTGGGGTGTGCGGCTGGCCGCCGGCGTGCTGGGGGTTCCCGGGGTCTGGGGCTGGGCGCTGGGGTGTGTGCCGGCCTGGCCTGGTGACTGCCTGCTGGGGCTCGGGGCCTCTGGACCTGTCGGGCTTTGGCCTGGAGGGGGTGCGCCCTGGGGGCCRGGACCTCTGTGCRCTTTCCTGGATCTGCTCTGGTATGGCAGGTGCCGGTGGGGCCCATGAGTTTGTCGCTGCTGGCCCCGGGTGCTGGGCATGTGGTCGCTGGGTGGATTCTCCCAGTTCTCCCCTATGGTCTGATCTGGGGGGTGGGTGGGCGGATCTTCCCATGCGGGTGRCCCTTGGGGCTCTGCYCTCGGGATCCCTCTCGGGCCCTTGGGCTCTGGTCTTCCCTATGTCTGTCTCGTGTCTTGGGGGTTGGGTCTCCGATCCTCCACAGTCACTATTAAATACTCCATTGGAGAAATCTTGTATATACACGCATGTTCACAACCGCTCACAAACAGGTGCTCTGATCCGGGGGGTTCTGACAGGTCACTGAGTGTGTATATATGTCTATGTGTATATACTGACAATATTTATGAATGTAGGCATGTACATATGTATGTATATCTTTATATATGTATGGGTATGTGTATATTTTTAGATATGCCCTCCATGTATTTATATCCATTTATTTTTCAGGTGAGCAGACAGATGTTGGGTGTGTGGTCCTGTGTTTTGTTGGTGTATATTTAATAAACTTCTAATCGCTATTTCAATCTTTCTATCTTTCTAATTACTTCTCTGTCTGTTTTTCTCTCTGTCTCTATTTTCTCTTCATTTTAAAAAAAAGTTTGTTTTGGATTCTGCTGCTCCAGTGCGACCCCTGCTGGTTGTACAATAAACCAGTAAGACAGGAGCAGCGAGCAACAGTTTTATTTTTCACTTCTGACTAGTTTTTACCTCACATGCTGATGGACAGCGCAGACAGGGTAAAAAAAAAAGAAAAAAAGAAAAACGTGTACAAATACAAGCATACATACTCAGTTTGCTGAAAGCGCCTGGCCCAGTCTGTTTTCCAGGTCAAGCCAACAGGTTCTAGGCCCATGCGAATTGGCTCAGCTCTCTTTGGAAGGCGGCCCGGTGTGGAGGCTGTATGTGGGGCACAAATAGGGAGGGAGAAAAAAAAAGACCCACTCTAACTCTTCATCTTTAGAAGCAAGCCGAGACGCAGCCAAAATGCTGTGAATACTCTGATCTATCCAGGCATAATGACACAGCTCGGTGCACTGGACCCGTCTGAGGGGGCAAGATTTTCTGAAGTCAGTCAAACCTCAAAAGGATTTCAGATTCCTGTTTCAGGGGGGTCCGCTTTGCTGTCATTCTCCTCTTTTGCTTTGGAGAAGTGTTTCTTTCTCTTTTTTTTTGCTTCTTAATTTTAAAGCCAAAAAACGGGAGGTTTTTTTTTTCCTGGCAGATGGGTTTCAAAGTCATAATTCCTGCAGGTCTTTTGAAATTGTGATAAGGGACTTAGAGATGTATGAAAATGGTGTCTGGAGGCCTGAGGAGTGTTGAGCAGCATCATAAACACCCTCGCCTAGTTTTGAATAACTGCAATAACTAGATATTAGAAACAGGAGCTTATATCTGATGAAAACATCCTGAGCTCAACCGAAAGTCCTTCTTCGGCACTTTCAGCTTCAATCTGCTATTTTAGCCTCATAAATGTTTTTGTTCTTGCATTCGTCTCAGATAAATATAATTTTATCCCCTCCATCCAACACAACAGACTCATTTAAGGTGGCATGCCGTGTCGTATTCATTTCTAATTCAGAAACACACATCCTGGTGCACATCTGAGAGTCTGCCTCTTATTACATTGTGATTTTCATATATTCAAAAATCTGTTAAGTTGTCAAATTCCAAAGATGAATGCTAKTATTATTTTTACTGGCACTTGGTAGTATTTAGGGATGGGCATTTAAAGTCTTCAGATTATGATGATGATGATGTGATTTTTCTTTAAATACTGAACTTTAGGTGAATTAAAGTTTATCACACCAAACCTTCCAATGAAGCTGAGGCTTTTGATACAGAGACATGTTCTGCTGCTACCTTCATTTTCACTGATCCAACGGCTCGACATGTAGGCCGTATGGATGTACTCTCAGTAAAGATGATCTCACCCACTCGTTTCCACTTTATAATCTTTTCAAAATAAACTGTGGCAGACACAGATGGTCCAAGTTGTTTTGGTAAGCATTAGGTGTGTTCAGTAAAGGACCCCGACTAGAAAAGCATGATTAGGAAACAGCTTGGTGATTCACTACAAGGTGACATTCAAAACAAATAGACAGTTGTGACAGCATACATTTTTTTATTCACCTACTTTAACCAGAATTTAAATATTTGAAAATCTCTTCCCATCTCTACTAATAATATGCTTCTTACACTACCACAAGGCAGCAGTAATGCACCAAGTTGCCTGTCAACTCTCAGGTGATTTGTGTGWTTTTTTAGTTTTACTGTAAAGAATTTTGGAGTAAACTCTACATTCATTGGTGACCTTAGCTGCCAGAATATGTGCACACCCATTTGCAGAAACACAGATATCCCCATCTAGCAGAATTACCGAATGCATGTTCGGAACCACAGTAGAAATAAATAGACAACACACATTAAATTCCCATTCAACTCTTGGCTCAACTTAACCTGAATAGAGTGAGCTAAAATACAGTACATCACAAGCCTTATCCCCAAGCCTGTGGACAAGCTCATTTCTTACACGCAAATAAAAAAATAGACYGTAGTCATGAATCATTTTGAATCAATAAAATTAGAAAAAAGTATTGAATAATTGCCAGTGGTTTTGATTTGTAAACAGTGTTTTAGCTTGAAATATTCATCCCTGCCTGTTAGCCACCTGGACATCAATGCTGAGGTTGAAGACCACCAATACTGTAATCCCAGCCAATAGTAGAACTTGGAACTCAGATATTATTTCATCCCAAAGGTGTCTGTAAACTCATTATCATGCTCCTACATGGCACCAGACTAGAGTATAACCTTTCTGCTTTGGCAGAATTTTAACATTGGTTTCACATTAGATGGTTATTCCTGCTAAAATACTATAACATTGCTGCCACAAGTGCGCCAGGCTGCAGTGGAAGTATAGCTAGCTGCTGCTGCTATTTGTACTTGTAAATAAGTGTAGAAGTTTACATAAATACCTGTGTAATTCGAAGGTGGCAACAATATTTTTATAAATATTAGTTCAAATATTAGCGTTTATATGAACAAATTTTAAGTTCTAATGGTTGACCGCAATCATCCACTTTAGTCTTGGCTCCACTCAGACGAGCGGTTCTGGTTAGAACTAAACTCTGTTACTCCAAACTCTGAATCTCTAACAGAGAGGTTCTCAAACTGGGGTCCCAGGACCCCCAGGGGTCTGTGAGAGGTATCTTGGGGGTCCTCAAAAAAATTTCACTAACTTATTAATTTGGTTTTGATTATAAAAAATGCATGGAGAACAAAGAACTAATAAAACAAACATGATAAACTTAATAAAATATATAGTCCAATGGCATTTAGGGGTTGAAATGACATTAAATTATCTTTTAAAACAGCATGGGTTTTATGAGGGGGTCCCTGGAAATTTTTCACCCTTGTAAGGGGTCCCCAGACCCAAATAGCTTGAGAACCCAACAGATAAAATATTAATTGTACATAATCCAACAAATAAATATATCAGTGGCTTCAAATGTTACAGACAAGGCACATTTAAAATAGCTTGAATAAACCTTAAAGAGTAATTTTGTTAAATATTATCAGATTCTTGTTTTTCCAGTTTGTAATTTTATTTAGTTTTATTTTTTCAGAAGTCTGTTTCTCCAACACAACCATGACTTATTTCTTATTTCTCTCACCTTTTGTGTTTAGTATTCCTTTTTGGCTCAATATTTTTGTCTATATTGATGTTTTGTAAAGAAGTAGATTTACAAAAAAAGGAATTTACTCTCTGCTGCTCTGTTGCTGATGGAGACCAGCAGAAGCAGACCGTTTTTATTGACATAAATTCTGGTCTGAGCTTTGCGGTTTCGAATCTCGCTTCTTTTGTGGTGACTAAATCTTTTTATTTCAAAGTTTTGCTCGATTCGTAACATTCTTTACCTTAAACACTCTACACACACCGCACACACTGCAGCACGTCAAATTAAAAACATAACTTGTCCTTCTCCCAGGAATGGTAGGCATCCGTCAGTGAATGCTGATCTGTGCTATGAGCCAAGGAGGGGAGGGTCGTCTGAGTGTGGGGGGAGAGGGAGTCCATCTCCTGCAGGGAGGGAGGGAGGGAAAATCTTAAGGAGCTTGTGAGAAGGAGGGACTGGAGGCATAGAGTAAATGCAGATGAGAGAGGCAGAGAAGAAAAGATCTGAGAGAGCATGGAGAGCTTTTGAACAAAGCAGGTGCAGCTGCTGATCCGTGCCGTGTTGTGTACACGGTCCTGGGTGGAGGACAGGTAGGGGCCCCTCAGGGGCTGGATCATGGGACAGAGCTTTGGCCTGGAGATTCCAGCTGAGGATACACAACAACACAGAACTGGCGGTGAGTTTCTGCTCTCACTCAAACACACCACGGGTGTTGGGTTTTAGTTCACCTCTCACATTTGTGGCTTCAAAACTCTTCTCTAATTTGGCTGTTTTTCAAAGACTAAACATCTGAGAGCATTGGGGGGTGGGGGGTGGGATTGCGTAATCAACAGTCAGCACAGTCTGCTCTCTTTTCTCCTCCTTCACTTTCACCACCGCAAGGAATGTTAAATCACTGGGATCATGTGGATGAATCGCAACTGTGTTTTTACACACTCGTGGATCTGCTGCACAGCCGTTCTCTGGCTACACAGCCCAGAGAGAGAATGTTTTCTCAGTGAAAGTAGATCAGGAGTGTTGCTTTACGTCATTTTAAATCCTGATAAATATTATGAGTCCTATGATGGATTCAACAAAGTAGACCTTCAAGGAAAGCACATGCCCACCACCTTAAGACTTTGGTTCAAATCTTTAAAATATTGTTATTCATTGTCAAAAATGAAATCGCATTTCACTTGATTTGTTAGCACTTGGACTTTTTGTTGTGGATGATTTTCAGCTACTGCCACAATGAATTTTAGTTCAGCYTCATGGAAACTGACTGAATTGCAGCCACTTTCTTTCTCTTAAATTAGGGATGTCAAACTCATATTCACTGAGGGCCACATGAACATTATGGTGGCTCTCAAAGGGCCAGTTGTAAATACCTTTAACGTTTTATTTTTTTAAAATTTTGACAAAACACGAAACGTTACTTGTCTCATTGCTCAGCACCACTAACAAACAATAACTGAGCTCTATGTGGTATTTCCTGCACAGAAACAGTGGTTTAACGTGTCTTCTAATAAACACTGAAAAGTACTACGTGTACAACTGACTAAATGTGAAATAAAATAAATCCAGAAAGGCTAATAAATATAAAGGTAAGAGACTTTACTCACTGATGGGTTGTGGTGAGTACTAGGGGTGTAAGAAAATATCGATACACTGAAATATCGCGATATTTCATTTCCCGATACTTTATCGATATTCTAAAGCCCTGTATCAATTTTTTATTAAGGTTTAAAATGTCAACTTTCCTGCCAGCCATTCATTTTTATGTTGTAGTTCGGCCTCTGACCACTAGTTGGCAGCAGTGAGCCAGCCATTTGGCTCCTCTACCTCTTGAGCGCCAGAGAGTAAGAGAGCATTAGCATTGTAATTAAACATTAGCTTCAGGCTCTGATAGCTGAATCCGAGCGGAAAAGACCGACACCCTCTGCCTTCTAAGCTGAGGTAAGGTTACAAACAGTTATTTGTCAGAATGTCTGTATTTTAAGCCAAATTAAGTGTCTTGTGCGCTCTTTTTTCCAACTGCAGTCAGCTTTCACGTTACGCATAGCGCATGCGTCTATCACCTCGAGCGAGCTCGGCGCTCCCCCTGTGACATAAAACTCTGTCTGTTGCTCTCAATGTCCGGCTGATGATCGCATCAAAGTCCGTATACTTTATCCTGCTGTGTTCGCTTCAAAAACGTTTTAACTCGTTTAGCTTCTTAATTTCTTAACTGGTTTTCTTCGGGACCTGCCCTGCTGTTCGACCCACAGTTATACAAATCAGGTTCTGGATGCAGGTCAGCTGATCCCAGAAACTCTGTGTGCAGCAGCTTCATATCATCTGTTTACTGAACTTTATGACAACATAAACTGTAATATTAGAATTTTCTGAGACAATGAATTTTGTTTTTTGTTTTTTTTTTCCAGTAAGAGGTTTTTATTTAATAGAATTTTTGGACCTAAAATATCACAATATATCGCCTTGTTTACAGTATCTAAATATATCGGGATATATCGGGATATATCGTATCGTGACCCCTCTGTCATGATATGTATCGTATCGCCAAATTCTTGCCAATACACAGCCCTAGTGAGTACCTGCTGTCTAGAATTCTGAACTCTCCCACTTTTAAATAGGAAGTTCCCACTGGAGGGGTTGTCCATTTTAAATTTAGGACCAAGTACAACTGGGCCGCAGTAAATGTAACCTGCAAAAATGCAGTGAACTGGATCATTTATACCGCCATTTTCACCAGTTGCCAGCTACTGACTACTTTTGAACCCTGTTCACCTCCATCTAGTGGTGGGATGCCATCATTTCATGACAAAAATAATCAATATGAATTATTGGAGATGTAGTTTGTGGTCAATGCTGGCTTTAAAGCAGCATGCTCCTATTTGAGGACATTAATGCATCTTTAAAGCTCTCACCACATTTGGCCCGCGAGCCTTAATTTTGACACATGCTTTACAATATAAGGTTGATTAGCTGTGGAGGCCATCTTGAGTTGGTGTGGATTTGGCAGAGTGGTTAGGGGAGTTGTCCTGTAACCGGTGGGTTGCCAGTTCAGTCCCCAATTCCGTCAGTCTCAGTCATTGTATCCTTAGGCATGACACCTCACCTGCCTTGCCTGCTAGTTGTGGTCATTCCTCTGCATTGCCTAGTGGAGCTGGTGTATGGCTGCCTCACTGGGCAGCTGTGYTTACATTATAGCATACCACCATCAGTGTGTGAGTGTGTGTATGAATGGGTGAATGACCGTAGTGTGAAGCGCTTTGGAGTCTACAGGAACTTGATAAAGTGCTATACAAGTTCAGACCATTTACCATTCGAATGGGGTTGACTGCAGAAGTTAATCAGTATAGATTTTCTTAGCGTTTATTTAAAATCGATCCACTTGTTCATGAAATATTTTGCTAAGTGACAGGTTTACATAAAAGATCTTATGCAGTGTGTTCGACTGACGTTCAGCTACTACCACACCAAATTTTTGCTCAGTATCTGTAAAACTGACTGAGTTGTAACCACTGTTTTGTTGGTTTTTTGTGTTTACGGGTAAATTTAATGGGGACTTAGCCTAAAAGTTAATAAACAATTGATGTACTATGTCCAGTCTAACATGATAAATGAGCACACAAACACATAGGGGAAACATTGCCACCCACCCTGTAACCCTTTACCTGGTGTTGGTGAACTGTTGACTTAGGTTTGAATACAAAGCCTCATAGATTTCACAGGTGGTCTCAAATACACTGTCTGTGTAGGCCCTCCCTTTTTGATTGACACCTCTATTGACCAGCTGGGTCAATCTGTAGATGCTCTAGAGCTAATAATACCCACTGAGTAGTAACTACACGATAGTTGTATTTGCAACAATAAAAAAGATAGACCAAGCTTTTGCATGAACTCCAAAGRGACAGCATAATTTATTCTGGCAAGCAATAATTTGTAAAAAAGATATGAATATTTATACTTTCATAGTATAACCAGTGTATGATTTCCCAAAGAACACAGTCCTTGTGATTATGAGCACTGTGCTCTTTAAGTAGATTGAATTTCATAATCTGCCCTGGCATAAGTAAGAGTTTTAATGAGCCTTAAGYTATTTCCCAACAGTTGGAGAGCTCTGTGAGTGGATGTGGGTGTTCCATGTAAATGATCAGAACGACTTTGCTTGCAGGCCCAGTGAAAGGAACGACAAGCTCACCTGGCCTGGTTAATACGGCTTCACAGGGAGATGCTTGGGGGATACATCAGAGAAATCATCCACACACAATCAGACGTCCCCTGTGTTTTCAGACAGATTGTCTTAGCTTCTGATTATCGAACATGACTGCTGGTTTTGGCSCGGTTATGAATGAAAGCATATTTTATGCTCTTTGCTTAATTTYACCAGGGTTTTTCTGTGATCCCTGTGAGTTGAGTGTGTTTTCGGTACGAGGGGAAGAGGCTGTCTTTGTTCTCTGGGAGGAAATGGCACTCCACCCTGATTGTGACTGTGTTTCCAGCCCCCCCTCGTCAATCCTGTACTTTTTCTCCCTTTGTAGCTCTTTTTATCCCCCTGTATTCCTGAGCCCACAGTAACACACAGCTGCCACCACACTACAAGCCTCCTCTTACTGCAGCTGAACCAAGATCACGTTGGAGAGTTTTTACTTTGTATTTATGAGGGCTTCTTAAACTTGATAATGTAGTTTTTATTTTTGATTTTTTACTGTTTTATGATGATGGATTGACGCATTCTACAATCAAGTTTCATTGGCCAGTGTCCAAGTCTTCTAAGGATTTTTGTTGGTCATCTTTTTCAAARGGATGCCTGCCGTCTTCTGTGCTCATCACCTCGGCAGTGCTCTGTTTGTGTTCAGGCCAGCTCTTATCCTGCTTCGCTGGCTCAGCTGAGCCCCACTATGAGGAGCGTTTCAAACGGGACAGTCTGCGCTGCGTGAGAACCTTCCAACGCAGAGACGTAGCTTCAAGCAAAAACCTAATCTGGATGTTATGACAGCTGGTCTGAATTCTCAGATTCCTACCACTCTGAGATAAGATGGCTTTCCGTGGTGGGGACACGACTGTTGAACCTGAACCCTCTCTCTTGCAGCTTTGCTCTGAAACCTTTGCTTGGATAAACACAGGAGTTTTTTGATTTTTCCGAATGCTTCCTGCTTCTCCATGGCATGCTGTTTTAGGTCCCGTCATTACGGAAGCTGGACTCTTAACACCCCTCTTCCAGGTAGTAACAGTCCCAGGCATGTTTTTCCAGGGGGCTTGACAAGAAATGAATTTGCTGAACTAGAATTAGGAAATGAATTTGAATGAATTTCTTATATTGTACTTTTAGACTGAAGACATTAACGTTGCTCTGCTCTCAGTTTGTCTGCACTGTCTTGTAATCTCAATAGTCTTGCAATGTCCACATATAATTACTTCAATGTTGTTTTGTAACTTGACTAAGCAAGTCTGTTTTTGAATTCCTGGATCAGCAGTTCCTAGACCTTTTATCTTATGAGTCATAAAGACTTGTTACTCCGACTTTTACTAGTTGAGTCTAACATCGATAAAAAGCCATTTAATGAAGAGCCTTATCAACAATTATTTTACTTTACTATTTATACTGTAACTACTGTTTTGGTCTCTTACCAATGATAAGGACTAAGCATGCTATCGGTATTCACTTTCAAAATTAATTTAATTTCTATAGATCTCAAAACCTCCAACTTGGTGTTTCATTACTTACAACAAGGTCCTGACTGGAGGTAAACCAATTAATCATGTGATATTTGCTACTTTTTAAATTGATGCCTGTGCAAACTTAACCAATTACCAAGAACATTTAAGATGTAGAAGATGCTTCTACAACCAGCTTAAGTTAAGCATTTATATTATGCTGTATTGTTATATGAGAAATGGGTATAGGACAACTATTTAAAAAAATGTTGATAGTGTATTACATCCATTGTTTCAACACTAATTTCTAAAGATTGGCATCAACCATAGAATAGCCTGTATGGGTTGAACTCTAATCTTGACCCTGACTTTGGAAACCAAGGTTCTGTTTTATGTCCTGGTGGAACATTGTCTTGTTTCGTCACTATATCACTTACAAAATGTATGGTTGAAATGTCAACAAAACCTTTTTTTTACTCTCATAAAAACCTTAGTTGAACAGTTTATCAGACTTCAAAACCGTTAGTCATGCTAAACAACTGTTAAAGTCCTACAAAATGCATTATGCATTGACCATGCTAAAATGTTCTTTAGAAAGAAATTACTCTCCTTTCTAACCCTGAATGTGTGAGTGAATTGTAGGTAGGGTTGGGCATAATCGTATCGTGTGAGATTAATCGTCAGAAAAACATTAATCGATTAGTTTTTGTCACTTGACGATTATTACGATTAATGCCACCAGGCAGATGGACTGGGAATTACTCRGGTTAGTCCGCTCGATGCTCCTCTCTGCTTCAAATATGACGAACATTAAAAATAAAGTTCTGTAATTTATTTATCTATCAGCACAATTTAAAATATGATGTATAGCCTGAAATCTGT